ATTGTTAGGGATCTTGTACTCAATTTTTTTTAATTTGAGAGATACAACATTTATATATATACTGCTTTAGAGAGAAAGCTAATAATAGTTTAAAAATTAGTAATAATAATTACCAGCTAGTATTCATTGTGTCCTTACTCTCTACCTCTGTTCTAAGTCCTTTATATTCTCATTTAGCTTGTACTGACAATCTTATGAAAGTAGGTACTGTTAGAATTCTACATTGATAGGTCTTCTAGTCTGTTGAGTAGCAGAGCTGGAATTTGAACCCAGGAGTTATCTCTTCACAGCTCATGCTTCCTCTTAAACCCTCTGCTTCACTGCCACCAGATTCTATTATTAATGATAATGATTTCTATCTTATGACTTGATAATATGAAATTGTCTTATCTTTCACAATTTTAACTTCAAATGTACTGCTCCTCACATTTCTATTCAGTATCTTCTGGTATTACATACTGGAGAAGGCAATGGCACCCCACTCCAGTACGCTTGCCTGGAAAATCCCGTGGACGGAGGAGCTTGGTAGGCTGCAGTCCATGGGGTTGCGAAGAGCCCGACACGACTGAAACGACTTAGCAGCAGCAGCAGTATTACATGCATTCATTCCTTTCTCAAGGAAGAAGCCTTTCATTTTATAGTTGTACACTGTTTTACCATTTAACTAACAACTATGACAACAGAGCCATGAATATAGTAGGAATAAAAGGTTTCTTCTTGAAGGACCAGGAGAGATCGTTCTGAATAGTATAACATTTATACTTCTCTTTCTCTCTTTTATCATGTTACTTTATGTAAAGACATTATACTCATAATCCAATATAGCTAATATGTTATCTTTGGGATATATTTAAAATTCCTATATGCATTTAGATATTTCTGGCATTTTAGAGTTCATATTATAGTATATTTCCTGCTTAATAGGAGATTATTTATCTGTATCCTCAACTGTTTAAACTATAAGTAGACAAAAAGGGTCTCTTAAGTAGTTGGGAAAAAACTTTCAAAGTTTATACATTAAATTCATGTACCTTAAGGTGGACTCTTTGCCCTTATCATATCTGTATGAAGTTCTAATGAAACTTATTTGGCTTTCCAGTCTATAGCAGATAATGGTTCTATAATTGTATTTCCATGTTTTTAACAGAATGCTCTGAAAGCCAAATTATCTTTTAACCCATTGAGTGGTAAAAGATAATCTGAACTGATAGAAAACTATTTATGGCCTTTATTTGCTCCCTTCTTAGTGTGAATATATATTTTTCTGCAAAAATATTAACATCTTTCTTATGGGGTCCTGTCTCAGACCTCAATGACACGTCATATAACATATCACATATACATCGTAGTCCCTTTCTAAAATCTAAACTACTCTATAAATTCTGAAATATATCTGTCCCCAAGGATTTTAGATAAGGGATCATATACCTGTATAATCAGGTACAGTGACTACAGTACAACTGAGAGCTAGGATATGGAACAAAGATTAATCCAGTAACTCAAGCATAGCGTATGTGAGACCTTTCAGTGTGAAGCAGTGCTTGTAACTGGAATAATACGTGGATCTCTTTTAAAGAAAATAATTATAGATTCCATTTTTAGGATCACTGACTTTAGTTTCTGAAGTAAGTTTATTTTTAAGTCTGATTTTTTCCTTTATATTGCTTTTGAAATGAAAGCACAAAACGAAAATTTTTAAAACTTGTGTCCCCCAGAGTTTATCCATGGCACATACTAATTGAGAAATACTGAGAAAGTGGCAAATAGTCCTATATACTTGAACAATCCCTGTAAGTATTATTGTTTGCCAACTCTTTGTTTACAGTAGCCTGAATAATGTATGTGTTAAGTCGCTTCAGTTGTATCTGACTCTTTGCCACCCTATGGACTATAGCCCACCAGGCTCCTGTGTCCATGGGATTCTCCAGGCAAGAATACTGGAGTGGGTTGTCATGCCCTCCTCCAGGGGGTCTCCCAACCCAGGGATCAAACCCGCCTCTTCTGTGGCTCCTACATTGCAGTCAGATTCTTTACCGCTGAGACACTGGAGAAGCCCTTCATATATGCAACTAGGAGATAGACAAACGTAAGTGGAGTTGGGAAGGCTAATGATTTTTCTTGCAAGCCACCAAACATTTCTGAACACTTTGAGTGTTTTTGCTATGTGCCAAAGTGCCAAGTGCCAAACGGCCTGGCACTTGGATGAAGAGGTGAGAGGAAAGTGGAGCGGGGTTGGGATGGAGAGAGTGGACTTCGGAAGACTCAGGTGTTATCCTGGATGCACTGCCTCACAGGAAATGGTTTTGGCAAAATCACTGACTCTGAGGCTGTTTCTTTCACAGTAAAATGAAAGGGTTGGAGTGTATCTCTTGGCCCCTGTTCGCTTTGGTGTTCTGTGACCTGCTGCCATGGAAACAATACAACCTTCGAAGTGGGGCTTAAACCTCACCTTCCACTTGGAACCACATTTTCCCTTTGACTCCTAAGGCTTCTAGATCTGCCTCAACTATGAGAGTCATTAGAGGAAAGGACACAAAGGTAGACTGAATTAAGACATGCCAGTGGGGGCCTCAGCGAGGATCAGGGGCCCCCAGCCTGAATCATAGTTAAGGGGTTAAAATATTTTTCCTATATTTAAAAAGTATGATTTTTAAAGGGGATGAGAAGAAGCACCCTCTTGAACAAAAAATGTACACATGATTTTAATTACTACCTTTCACCTCCAGGGAACTGTCTTCTACCTACTACCAGCTGGCAATCACTGTCATTACAAGCGACTCTTAGTGATAGTAAGTCAAAGTTCTCAAATGTAGGGAGGTAGAAGAAACTTAAGAACCAGTGCTCTGACATACAGGATAATATACTTCAGAGATATTGCCATCAGAAACTAATGTAAACCTCTGTTTCCAGCGACATGGCGAACTAAGCACCTGGACCAGCCTTTCTGCTGAAAACCTAAAATGGTGGATCAAATGCGTTAGTTAGTTTAAACCAAACATTTATTGGAAACCCAGTGAGGTAAGCTGAGTACCGAAGCTGGCTCCTGCCTTGAAAGTATTCACCAAATCAAGTGAGCTTCTGTTTTCATGGCCTTGTTAAAAAAAAAAAACCCCAGAGCCAGCCAAAGTAAACACATTTAGATCTTCCCTGATAATAGCTCTTTACCATAGGTGTTCTAGAAGGTAAGAGTGATCTAGAAATTCTTCCCCAACAAAGTTATCTTTCTAGAATATTGCTGTGAACAGGAAAAATAAATCTTTACTGAAAATTTGTTACCATAAACCAGCCCTTACACTGGTTTGCAGCCTGAATTCACATTAGACCTCAAGCTAAGAATTTTAAATGATCCTGGATTGTTGCTACTCCCAGGGGCCTGACAGAGGTAGCACAAATCATAATCATGAAAGAATTCCTGTTGGTAAAGTTTTAATGAAAAATGAAATGCTTAAAATAAGAGTTTACAAACCATCTAAAGAAATAGGGCCCAATATAAGAGAATCTGTCAAATCAGACTTACAATTCGATCATATCTTGGGATTATCAGATGTAAAATATAAAAAGTATATTTAATATGTTCAGTGAGGAAAAGAGCAAACATTCTGTAAAAGAATCAAAAGTCCTAGAAACGGAAATATATAGTAACTGAAATTAGAATGCAAGGGTTAGATAAAAGCAAATAGACCCCATTGGAGAAAAAAATGATATAATGAAAGATAAACCAGAAGAAATCCAGAGAGACAAGAAAATGAAAATTATAAAAGAGGTTAATAAAGGGGAAATATTTAAGAGAAAACATGGAGCACTTTGAAAGGAGTATCAGTTTTCAATAGCAGTAATGGAAATAGAGACCATGAAAATAATAAACTCAGTGAAAAATACATCTAGAAACTGACCTACTCTGAAACTGAAGTGAAAGTGTTAGGCCCTAAGTTATTTCCAACTCTTTGCAACCCCATGGATTGTAGCCTGTCAGGCTTCTCTGTTCATGGATTCTCTAGGCAAGAATATTGGAGTGGGTTGCCAGTGAACTACTCTAGTTCAATCCAGAATTCTATAGCTAGCAAGAAGAAAGACATGCTCAGAGAAATTTGAAAGTTCACTAGCAGACTGCTTTTTTTTTTTTTAGATTGAAGTATGATTGATTCACAGTGTTAATTTCTGCTTTTTAGCAAAGTGATTCAGGTACATATATGTATATTCTTTTTCTTATCCATTCTGTATATAGTCATTTGTGTCTGCTAACTCCAAACCCTCATGCTGTCCCTGAATCTCAGACTCTCAATGACCATTTTTCTTCTATTTAAAATGGTCTGGTCATTGAGAGTCTGAGATTCAGGAAGGAATGATGATCAAAGGATAGTACTAAGTGTATGTTAATAAAGTGTAACTTAATTTTCAAAACTTGTATAAACAATAATAATAGTGTCTTATGGGGTTAAAAAAAAGCTAGAACTAAAACAGCAGTTATTTTAGTTATTTACTAAATGCCAGTTATTTTATAATCTGGGAGGAGGTGATTTGAGTTAGTATTCAAAAGTATTTTTATTACTCAGGAGAAGATTAAAATTACCTTTGGATTTCGATAAGTATGTGTGGTAAAAATTTTTAAGTAATAGAAATACATAACTTCCAAACTAGTAGATGATGAAAAGGTGGAACCAGAAAAAAATAATCCCAAAGAAGGCAAGCAAGATAAGAGAGAAGGAAACAGTGCAATAACAAATAAGATGATACAAGTAAATCCAGTTATATCATTGCCTTATTTTTAAAATGTTTACCTATATGGGATTTAGTATAGACTAAAAGAAACAATGAAGAAGGAAATGGCAACCCACTCCAGTATTGCTTGGAGAGTCCCATGGACAGAGGAGCCTGGTGGGCTACAGTCCGTGGGGTCGCAGAGTCAGGCATGACTTAGCGACTAAACAACAAAGAAACAAAAGGAAGACATGTTGTAAAAATGTAAAACATGTAAAAACATGTAAAAAAAATGTGAAACGTAAAATGATGGAAAAAGATATACCAGGCAAATATTAATGGAATGAAAACTGGTATATCATTTGAAATAGACTTTTAAGGCAAGTAGAATTACTAGAGATAAGAGTTGATACACAATAGTATATGTTTCACTTCTCCATGAATATATAGAAGTTTTAAATTTGTATGCCACTAATAAAACCACAAATAAAACATATATTAATAGAACCACCAGGAAAATTTGACAAATTTCACCACTGTAGTGGGAGATTGTAGTATATCTTCCTCATTAATTGGTAAAGAGAGCAGGACCTCCCCCCCCCACACACACACACACACAAAATCAGGAATACAGAAAACTTAAACAGTATAGTTAACAAGCTTGATCCAATGGACATATATTGCATCCAGTACTGTAGAAACATCAATTGAATCATCATGAAAATCAACACCTACTGGACCATCAAGCAAGTTTCAACAAATTTCGGAGGGTTAGTACGCTATAAATCATTAAAGTTAGACATCACTAAGAAAAACAATCCCATGGAAATTAGGATATATTCTTTGAAATAACTCAAGTATGAAAAAGGAAATGTTAATGGAACTCTTGCTGCCCTTTGTCTAGAAAGTGTTAAGTCATTCCTCAATTTTGCGTGTGGCAAACACAATCCTGTGAAATGGGCCACATAAAGGTCTTTCATTCTTGGCATACCTGGTGAGAGTGCTAAGAGTCAATGATGGATTGGTTCTCCCAACAGAAAGGACAGAAGTTTTAGTAAATGATGCTGGAACAATTGTGTCTTTATACGTAAAAGATGAAATTGAATTTGAAAAAATACATCCATATATTTGGGGAGGGGGAATTGACTTAAATGTGAAAGGTAAAAGCTATAATACATATAGAAGACAGTATGGGATAAAACTTCTATGAATTTTGTATACAGAAGAAACTCTTAAATGAGAAACTATAGTAACCATAAAGAAAGGGTTGATTCACCCTATTAAAGTTGAGAACTTTTTCATTAATAGGCAACTAATAAAAAGACAAGCCATCTAAATAGGGGAAGATATTTGCATTACATATAAAAATTAGTATCCAAACAATAATGGGGTGCCATCGCCTTCTCAGACAAATGGCTTCAGTAGACACTTAATAGAAAGGGACTCTAAATGGCACACACACACAAAATTATATATACGTTTGCCTTCTAGGTTTGTTTTGTACATGAAGAGATATTCAACTCCATTAATAATATGGGAGATGCAAATTATACCACAAGGAGATACAATTTCACAGTCATCAGGTTGGCAAAAAAATTTTTTTGATGAGTTCATGGAGCAAACAGTACACTTGTACATTCCTGGTAGTAATCTGTCATTAGCAGTTAAAGTTGAAGAAAAGAATACTCTGGCCCAATAACTGCTGCTTCACATGTATTATGCTTTTAGAATTTCAGAAAACTTGTTTACAGTTGTGTTCCAAGAGATATAAACAAAGATGTCTATAGCAATACTACTTGTAATAGCCCCGAACATAAACATAAATAAATGTCTAAAGAGTGTAATAAATAATGGTATATTCATACAGTAGAATGTAAGTCATCTGTAAAAAAACAAATGAATTACTGCTGCAGTAATGTTAATGAATTTGGTGAAAGGGAAAACAAGCTTCAGCACAGCTCAATTTTGTAAGATGTGTGAAAAACTTAGAGGGCTAAGTAATATAATATTCAAGGATTCTAACTATAAAGGGAAAAATTTTCATTTGCTTTGTCTTTGTTACAACCAATTAAAATGTGAACAGATTAAGTCATAAAATCTATGTGGCTTTAAACAACACTGTATGTTTAGGAGGTTTCTTATTTTGGGCAAAAAAAAAAAAAAGCTCTCAGTGTGATCTCTAATACCTTTAATTCAGCACCTTGTAACACTGAAAATTCACTGCCTTGGTTTCCCTTATTTATTCTCTGTCAAGCATTTCCTCTCAGACCAGTATTATTAATAATACAAACCTAAGCAAAAGTGCTGTCCTCTAACGTTTTGCGATGTGATCTAAGAATTACAATATGAAATCTTATATTGCCCTGAAGTTGAGTATCACTGTATAATTGAACATGATATGCAGACATGCAGTTCTCTGTTAGACACCTTTCGAGATGCGTGAGCTGCATAGTTGTGAAAAAAATATGGTGCATTTTAATACTGAGCTCTCTTCTCTAGATACTACCATGGCCGTTACACAGTGAAAATTTAGGCAGGGGCTCAGATAATACTGGGATTATTTGAACTCTTCACTTTAAAAATTGTCCTTGTGGGAGAAAATTCTGTTCTTTCCTGAAGTGTAGATTTAGAGTCACAAATGTGTATTTTGCTAAATTGTCTTGTACATTTACTTCCTTTCTTGGTAGCAGTGTCTTGGTTTTAGAAATCAGTTTATAGTGAATGTATTCATTATTTGAGTTATGTTAGTTACACACCTAATAAACTATGGTAGATTTTTCTTTTCTCTCTCTCTCTTTGGCTGTGTGGCGTCTTCATGGCTGCACACAGGGTTTCTCTAGTAGCAGCAGGGACTCCTCCCCAGTGGGATGTGCAGGCAGGCTTCTCATTGCAGAGGCTTCTCGTTGCTGAGCATGGGCTGTGGGGCATGCAGCTTCAGTAGCTGCAGCACATGGGCTCAGTAGTTGGCAGCTCCAAGACTCTGGAGCACAGGCTCCGTAGTTTTGGCACACGGGCTTAAGTTGCTTCGTGACGTGTGGGATCCTCCCAGGTCAGGGATCACACCCCTGTCTCCTGCACTGGCATGCAGACTGTTAACTACTCTTCCCCTGAGCCACCAGGGAAGCCTAGGATATATTTTTCAAATCCCACATTTTCTAGGCTTAACTGCCTATTTTGAGTGACATTTATTATGTGTAACAATTATATTTGGTTGATTGAAGTATTGTTCTTAAAAGATTACTAAAAGGAAGTATTACATCACTAGTCCAGATTTCCTTTTATTTCTGTGCTTATTTTGCTTTATGAATCAAACTTCCATGTGTATTATTATTTGCTACTGAATATTTTCAGTTCATTTTAAGAAGTAGTTTCATAAAAACGTAAAACTAAAACTTTTCTCGATTTTGGTGTAAAATGTATAGACCTTCTGTTACAGTGTTACATATTATGTATTTCTGAAAACACTGAAATTGTGCACACGTGAGATGGGTCACACCCAAAACTTGCAAAGCTTTGTAACCAGAACACTAACAGGAGTAAATAAGCATGCTAGAATATTCTAAAAGATACATTAAATCTATTACAAGTAAAGAAATATTACAGGCAACCTGAGGTTTTTTTTAAAAAAAAAAAAAGACGAAGATAAAGCCTGATTGAAGGTTGTGCAAGGAAAGGTTGAAGCTACAGGGTTGTGGAGGCAGTAGAATGCATAAAGATCTGGAGAGGAGATTTCATTAAGTATTTTCTAGAAAATGCAAGTGGCCAAGCTGTGCCAAGAGGTGGAAAATGGGTTGAATAAGAATTGTGTACATACTGCTTTCCACTGTGTTAGCTTATTTCAAGTTTAGCTTTTATTACTTAGTAGTGTAAAGACGAAGACTGAGAAAAGTCATGTACAAACCTATGTGACTTTCACATTGTGCTAAACTCTTTGCTCTACATACCAGTGAGCTAATTTGTGTTACAGAAAAGCTAAGTAACAAACTAAACTGTACTAAGAATATGAGAGATAGCTTCTGTTTTTGACTTGAGGCCTTTGATCAGTCTGTGACTGTTTTGTGATTTTGTCTCGTGTGAAATCTAAATACAACTAAAAATCTAACACAACCTTTTCTGCCTTGAGTATATTGTTTTAATTTTAAACTATAAAAGTAATAAACATCTTAAAACACTGGGGAATATAACAAAGAAAAAAATTACAAGTTATTATATAAGTTACTATATAAACCACTGTTAGCTTCTTGTGTATTTCTTACTTTTTTTTTTGCCAGTTTTTAGTAAACTTTTTTGATTACTTCACAATCTTTAATTTTTACTTCACAATCTTCATTTTTAATGACTACTAAATATTAGATTAAAGAGATGTGCTTTCATTTACTTAGCTATTTCTCTATAATAAAATATATAAGCTGTATAGTTTTCCTCTTTTTTCATAATTCCTGGATAAACATCTGTGTGTGTATGTGTGTGTGTGTGTGTGTGTGTGTGTGTGTAAAAGATAAGGAGAGAATATTTTCTCTGACTTAGAATTATTTCACTGGAGTGGCTCATAAGTGGAAGCATTGAATCAAAGAATATGACATTTTTAATGATTCTTGGTGCATATTGCCATCTTGTTTTTCAAAATGGCCCCAGGTCCTTGCCCAAAATTGTGTATGATAAATTTTTTTAACTGGTGATAGGGCTTCCCAGGTGGCTGAGCGGTAAAGAATCTGCTTGCCAATGCAGGAGACGCAGGTTTGATCCCTGGGTTGGGAAAAATCCTCTGGAGAAGGAAGTGGCAACCCCCTCCAGTATTCTTGCCTGAAAATCCCGTGGACAGAGGAGCCTGGTGGACTACAGTCCACGAGTTCGCAAAAAGTGAGCAACTGAGCATTAGCGTGAAACGATTGATATTGAGCAACAAAAGATATTGTTACTTGTATAATGTTACTAATTATTTGTTTATCAGACACTATGATAAGTATATTATCATACTTAATGTCACCTTTTTGTTTTGTTTTGCATTTTTTAATAATCAGTGGAGTTGAATATTTTCTAATACATATGTTTGTTATTTATGTACTTATTTGTAAGGAAAGATCGTTTGCGTATTTATATTGGTGGACTTGGTGTTCTAAAGTACTTGTTAAGGATAATTTAAAAGCAGCTTTTTTTCTTTCCTTGAAAATACAATGACAATTGAAACCTTACTAAGAGGATGTCAGTCTTTCCACTTGATTTTTAACTTTGCTTGGCTATTTGTGGCGCTAGTGGTAAAGAACCGACCTGCCAATACAGGAGACATAAGAGATGCAGGTTCAGTCCCTGGGTGGGGAAGATCCCCTGGAGAAGGAAATGGCAACCCACTCCAGTATTCTTGCCTGGAGAATCCCATGGACAGAGGAACCTGGTGGGCTATGGTCCTGACTGGCAAAGAGTTGAACACAACAACTGAGGCAAAGTAAGCAAGCAAGCAAATTTGCTTTATGTAATCTTTGGCACATTTGCTGCCATAGTATTGTCTTGCATCTTAAAGTAACGGATTTCATTCTAAACTTGTGATTCAGAGGATAACATATTTGCAACCATTTGAATTAGTTTCTGATGAGACTGTCAACAGTATCTGTTTTAGGTAGTGTTGCTAAAAATAAAGGTTCCTTAAGAAATTGAGTGTATTCAAATGGACAGAAAAGCTTGAATCTTGAACTCAGCCTAGTTTGTAATTTTGGCTTCACTTTTTATTAGCTTTAGAACATTAGGCAGTTTACTTACTTGGCTTCCATAACAGCAGTTTCAGTTTTCTGATTGTAACTAGTGGGGATATTTCCTAGCATTAATGGTTTGTTTCAAAAATAAAGTAACTTCTAAAAGCAGGTAGCCCAGCACTTGGTATTTGTTGCTGATAAGTTCATTTCAGTTTGAAATTATAATTTGAGTGCCTCCTTATGCCCAATGTTTTGTTGTGATGTATTACGAGTACAAAAGTAAAAGACTCTTATTACGGAATTCACAGTGGGTGAAAAAAGGATCATATGTAGAACTAAGTAATAGTGTAAATAAAGTTTATGCATTTTAATTGATAGTCATTTGAGATACAATATGTAGTATTTAGGACAATGGCTTACACCCCAAATATTAGCTGATGGATGCTACTGATAATTGGGTGTTCTGAGACTACATCTAGTAGCTCCAAGAATCCAGATTGTTTTATGTCCAACATCGACCGGCTTCCATGATTCTTGGGGAAGCCTGCCAACTGTGTTTTAAATAAACTCAGACCCCGGGGCTGCTCCTCTCGCTTCACTTACACGCCTGTAAGATGCTTGCATAGAGTGATAGTAGATGCAGAGGGCTTTTCACAGGATTCGGAAAGGAGGCACCTTGAACCATTGAAAATGAATTAAATGGCACGTTAGTTCTGCCACTTTCCTTTTTGGTCAGTTATTCTTCCATAGTAAGATTTTTGAATTGAAGTATGTTTCAGAAAGCAAAACAAAAATCATTGAGAGAATAGAAACAAAAAAGGATAGCTTAGAAACAGCTTTTTTTCCTCCCCTTGAAAATACAGTGACAGTTCAAACTTTACTAAGAATGTCAACCTTTCACCATCAGTACTTGATGAGATAGTATATAGAAGGAAGAGTTAAAAATACTGGAATTTACAATAATAAATCTGTAGTAAATATGTTTTTGCTAGTAATGAATTTAGTGATCAAGAAATGTTATCTTTTTAGTATGATATACTATAAAAATATTAGAAATTATTTCTTTATAGTATTATAATCATGTTTGAGGAGTTTATTTGGAATTACTGTTTGAGCTTATTTTAAACTTGATTATTATCTATTTTGAGCCATATGTGTGACTGTTAACTTCACTGTAATTATAATGAAATTATAGATGAATAGATTATAGAATTTTATAATTGAAAGAAGTTATCTATTCATTTTTAGTAATAGCAAACATTACTTATTAGGCAATTACTATGGGCTAGGGACTGTTATAAGTATTCAGAATACATTCAACTTTATTAATATCACCTGTACATATTGTGCTATAGTGGGGCATTTTATTTATAGCCATTTCAAATAACATGAAATAAGTTCTGTTCCTTGTATTATAACTTTTAGCATTTGTTATGCAAATATTATACTTAAATATTATATGGGATATTGATTGTAAAATATCTCTGATTTGGGGATTTTTAAATTTGTGTTTCCTTTTTCCATGTGCTTATGGATCTTAAGTATAACATTGGTTGATAATTGTTTCTTTTGTTGCAGAACTGTAAGAGTAAATGGGTCCAGTAATTGGAATGACTCCAGAAAAGAGAGCTGAAACTCCAGGAGCTGAAAAGGTTGCAGGATTAAGCCAGATTTACAAAATGGGAAGCTTGCCTGAAGCTGTTGATGCTGCCAGGCCAAAGGCCACTCTAGTGGACAATGAGTCAGCAGATGATGAACTCACAAACTTGAACTGGCTTCACGAAAGTACTAACCTCCTAACAAACTTCAGCTTTGGAAGCGAAGGTCTTCCAATTGTTAGTCCATTGTATGACATAGAAGGAGATGATGTGCCATCCTTTGGACCATCGTGCTATCAGAACCAAGAAAAAAAATCAGCAACTTCAAAGCCCCCATACTCCTTTAGTCTTCTCATTTATATGGCTATTGAACACTCTCCAAATAAGTGTTTGCCAGTCAAAGAAATTTATAGCTGGATTCTGAACCGCTTCCCATATTTTGCAACTGCACCAACCGGCTGGAAGAATTCTGTTCGACATAATCTGTCCCTGAATAAATGTTTTCAGAAAGTGGAAAGAAGCCATGGCAAGGTCAGTGTTTACGAACATTGCTATATTTAGGGAGGTGGGGGAAAATAACATGGAGATCTTAAAATATGAGGAAGTCAAAGGAAGACAAAAAATAGTCAAGTCAGCTTACTTCAGCTTGAACTTAATTTTATTCACCATTTGCTTTCATCTCAGATGTTTTTAAGTTTCTTCTGTATTGATATAAATCTAGCAGAATTCTGTTCAGTCTACTAAAGGTACAAATTAGGTATAAATTAGGAGTTTATTATTTTCTTTTTATTTTCTTTAACTTTTAAAAATTGAAGTATAGTTAATTTACAATGTTGTGTTAGTTTCAGGTGTACAAAAAAGTGGTTCGGTTATAATTAGTTTTTTTAACGTCCCAACTTTCTGTTCTTAGTTTCTGTAATATTCTTGTTGCTGTATTTATATATTCTTATTTATTCAATATGACAGTGTCTGCCTTATAATTGGAATGTGGATCATTTACATTAGTGTAATTGATACGGTTGGTTTTAAATCTATCATTACATTGTTTGTTTTCTATTTAAATACTTTAAAGACTTATTCTCTTGTCTTCTGGGTAGCATAGTTTGTGATGAGAAGTCTGTTGCCATTCTTATCTTTGTTCTTCTGTTTGTAGTATTTTTTTTCTTACTGTCCTCAAGATTTTTATCTTTATCACTACTTTTTAGCAGTTTGACTATGATGTGTCTAAGTGTGTTTTTCTTTATTTTTATCCTGCCTTGGTTTTTCTGACATTCTTGGATCCGTGGTTTGTTGTCATTCATTAAACTTAGAAATTTATTTCCTCAGTATCTCTTCAAATACTTCTTGTGATTCACCACCTACTTCTGGGCTCCAAGTGAAAATATGTTAGACCATTTGCTGTTGTCTCACCTCTTGATTACTCTGTCCCTCTTCCTACTCTTTTTTCTTTGTTTCAATTTGGATAATTTCTATTGATCTTTGTACAGTTTTATTCTTTCTTGTATCCATTCTGCTGATCAGCCTAATAAAATCATCTTCATTTTTTTTTAAGTATTTTCATTTTCCTTTAAAAAAAATAGTCTCCATCTTTCTGCTAAAAATTTCCCACTAGGTCTGTTAAACAAATTAACCATAGTCACAGTGTCTGTCTGATAATTTCAATATTTGGGCCATCTCTGGGTCTGGTTTTGTTAATTGTTTTGTTTCCTGCCTTTGTCTGTCACATAATTTTGCATTAAATGTCAGACATTGCTTGTTAAAAAATGGTAGAAACTGAAGTAAAGAATATTTCTATCGAGAAATAGATATGCCTCTACTTCTATCAGGTTGTTAGTATGGACAGGTATTGATCATCTAGTTAACAGTTGAGTTGGGTTTGGGTTTTGTGGTTGTCATAGTTACCCTTGATATACTACAGTCTTTACATTCCTGTGGAGAGACTGCTGATACTTTGTACTTAGTGTGAGGCCTGGAATGTCAGGTGATTTTTCTTAGCTTTTCTGCTCCACCTTTACCTTTCAGTTCGCGACACATTTAGCTTAGAAGTGGGAGGGGAGTTAAATATTTCTCTCTGTACTCTTGCTCCTCATTTAGCAATGCATTGTTCTTCCTTGTTACTTGGTGCAAGGTTCTTGGTGTGAACAGGATAGGTTTGTTGGTTCGTCTCCAGTTTCAGTGTCAGGCAGGCTTATTGTATGCCTTTGCCTCAAGTGTGAGACTTCCCCGTCTCTTCCATGAGCAGACTCTCCCATCTACCCAGTGAAGCCCAGAGCTGCACTTATCAATAACCAGATACCTACATGTGGCTAGTGGTTGGTATACTGGAGAGCACAAATATAGGATACTTTGTCATTGTATAAATACCTTTTGAACAGCACTGTTCCAGCATTCAAGACAGTTTCTTGTCCACTCCCATCATGGTAAAGTAAATGTTACCTAATATCAGTGGGAAGTTCTGGGTACAAGTGAGTGACCATTTCCCAGCGGCAGCAGGTCTCTGCTTTGTATCTTTGGAGCATTTGGGCATGAGCTAATTTCCTGTCCTCCTCCACATGATGTATACTACATTGCCTAGTATCAGTAAAGTGTGAGGATAACTGTGTTTTGTACTTGCCTTCCAATAGCAGCTGTCTTTTGCTGGTGACTGGGCTGAGGCGGGGGTACTTTGTCTCTCAATGGCAGACAGCTTTTGCTTCTTATTTGCTTTGTCCAGGACTAAGGCAGGTTTAGTGCCTCTCCCAGAGTGACACCTGATCTTACGTTATACTCATTCAGGACCTGGATCATGAATGAGCTTTGCCTGATATCCTTGCTCCAACCACAGACCATAGTCGGCTCGACACATCTATCTCCATCTCCGAGGGTGTCTTCCTTAAGTCCCCTTGAGTATTCTATTTATTGTGACTGCCACTTTTTCCATGCTCTACCAAAAGTGAAATAGCTCTTATGTTTCATCCCTCCTCACAGGACCTGTCACACCTCAAAATTCAATTCTTCTTGCAGCCTCAATTTTCAGGCTCATAAAAAATTATGGTTCTGTAGATTATTTTGTTTTTTTCTTCTTGTTAATCTAGGAGTGTTCTTTTGTAGTTTTCTATAACCCAACTGGTAGCAGAAAACTCTGATTTTTATTTGGAATAAAAGTTTAAAAAGCAAGCAATTAAATCTTTAGATAACCAAAGGATTTCATAGGACAGTGCTGTTCAGACTTGAAAGTATCTACCGATCATCTGGGGATCTTGTTAAAATACAGATTCTTCTTCAGCAAATCTAGGATAGAGACTGAGGCTTTCTAATTTCTAACGGGCTCTGAGGTGATCCTGATGCCTCTAATCCATGAGACACCCTAGGTAGGAAGGCATTTGGGCACATCATTATCTTATGATTAAAGGAGATTGTATTAGTTATCTATTGCTATGTAATAACTTACTATTTAACACATTCTTTACTACACATGGAATGTTGATGAAGGCCAGCTGTGTGCTTGGCCGTTAAGAAGCCTCAGCATGTTAAGGATCGCTCTGTTGTAGCTAGCCTCCAAGATGGCCCCCAGATGAGCCCTGCCTTCCAATATCTGTGCCCTTGTAGAGTCCCCCTTCAACACTGAATTTGGCTGCTTTGTGTAACCAAGAGGATGTTGCGGAAATAGAGTGTGCCTTTTGAACCCAGGTCATAAAAGACATGGCTTCCATCTTGGGTTCTTGGCCAATTAGCTGTATGGGAAGTCAGCTGCTATATCATAAGGACATTTAAATAGCCCTAGGGAGAGACCCATATGGCGAGGAAATCAGACTCAATATACATATGAGTAAGCCATTTTGGAAGCAGATTCCCCTATCAGTCAAACTCTCCTTTCAGATGACTGAAAATTTTGGATGTATTCTTTCCACCATGCATCATTAGATTTTATTTTTTGAACTGTATCAGTTAATTCTTTTCTAGTTTTAGACCTATTGTATTTATGCTTGTAGCAAGATATAAAAGAAAGTAGTTATCAGCACTGGTGTTCAGTAGAAGGGTCTAGCGAAAATATGATAGAATGGAAGCGAACAAGGGTAAGTTAAGTGTGAATGAGCAACAGTGTCAAATGTTGCAAAAAAAACTTGAAAATGGGGATATCCCTGGCACTCCAGTGGTTAAGACTCCACACTTCCACTGCCGGGAGTGCAGGTCTGATATGGGTCAGGGAACTAAGATCCCACATGCTGCATCTCAGAGCCAAAAGAAAAAAAAAACTTGATTAGCATCAAGTAGCAGCCAAACGATTAGAATTAAAAATATATGAACAGTGGTGTATTGATAAATATTTAACAATTGGGTTACGGTGACGGTATCACTTTTGCCAATTTCCATGATATAAATATTTCTCTCGTGGCCATTTTCAAGCTGCCAACATTACATCATTAAATGCAAAATTTGGACAAAAAGTGATACATTCAAGTGGTATTGGGAGTGCTTGTGGTTTGTTTTTATTTTTTAATAAAATACTGCTTGAATCAGTACCTTAAAATACTGATTTTTTTTTTTTTCTATTTCAACCTGCAAAACGCAAGTAAGTTATACTTACTTCCATTAAGTTTGGCAACCTTGAAAAGCACTTTTTCTGATGAATAGTTGTTGTCTGGAGATGATAATCTCCAAAAAGAAAGCAAGATGACAAAGGTCCAGGTCAAACTACAGATTGATACAGACATCTGGTCACCTGCTATGGCAGCTGCTTAGCTCCCTGCCCTCATCCATACCATAGTTAACCACTCTCAAAAGATAGGCCTAAAAATCTTGGCTTGTTATTTGTGAATTTTAAAATCAGAAAAGCTAGGCAAGGTGTTTTTGCTTTGTTTTTATGTTTTGAACATTAACATTGAAGTCTTAAAATCTGTTTTTCAAACTTTGTTATAAAAGCCAGACTGAAATATTTAATGTGAGATTTTAGCTGGGGAACGTGAAATCAGAAGTTTTGCCTGATTTAGTACAATTTCAGGCGGTACATTTTCGTGGTGGTGATTTGCTTCAATAGCTGAATCCCAAGAAATGAAGTCATGCAAGCCACCATTAAAAGTTCACACTATGAGCAAGAATCATGAACGCCCTTTTAAATTCAGTGATTTTAAAAACCACTGAAAAGGGTACTGGGGGGGGGGGGGGAAGTATTAAAGTGTACCGTGCAGGTACATAAAAACATTTCAGGAATAGTGAGCATTGTTTCTTCTCCCAGTGTTCTTTACAACTTCCATTAAGATAAATCTTAAAGTTCAATTCTCAGTATATCCCTTATTTCTTCAAAACCTTTGGTGGTTCTTTACCAAATATGTCCAAAAGCCTTAGAGTTTCAAAATGCAAAATAGTACATGAGAAAATGCACATTTCCTGTTTCCACTGCACAAAAAAAACATGTCTTGTAATAGTCATATTCACAAAACAGCACTTCTTAAACTCTTTATTATTTGTGTTCTGTCATCTAAGCACAACTTAATAAAGAGGCATAGTTTTTAACTGAGACTTAGATTTAAAAATAAGTTTTTTGCTTTAGATTCTAAAACATAGATTAGCAAATATACAATTTTATCTTGTTACTGATAGTTTGTGAACAGGCTCAGTGAACGGAAGTGCTGCCATGGTAACACAAAACAGACAGTTATTTGGAGACCTTACTCAAGACACTTAACTGCCCTGAACTGCAAGTTTTCAGTACTAGTGCTTCCAATGTGCTATTTCAAGGAAATACCAATTCTTCTATGATCAAAACAATTTGCAGTTCTCTCACAATAGAATTTTAAAAGTAGATTTGAACTAAATAGCTTTTGGGAGTATAATCTCAGGAATACCAAGATAGAACATGGTTAGAATCATTAAAATAATTATCTTAGTCTATATATGAAAAATAATTTGTGTATTTATTTTCTATATGAAACTGAAGTGCTTTGGGGACAAAGGATACTCTGGGTGCCATCATTTTAAAGTTTTATTTCTCTACCTTCATAATACACTTACCACTTAGGCCAAGTGATTGGAAATACATGTAATTTAAGATGGGATGGCCCATCACTTAATTCAAAAATACATGGGTAGAAATTTGACTTCCTTTGGAAAAAACTTAAAATTTCAATATAGTTCATGTGATACCTTGCTGCCATAGGCCAGAAAAGGTTTCACCTGATAGGATGGTATGTTACTTTCTGTATTACAGTATGATATGACACCCATGGTTTTTCTTTTCCAATATATTTAAGTTGCTGGGATGTTAAAAATTGCCTTACACTCAATTACCATACTTTTCCTCGCAAAAAAGTGTTTTTCCCCTTATCAGTTTAATTCTTGTAACTTTTGTCTCATATTCAAAATTAATTAATTTTTGTTCTTACTGTTTATGTTTTAAAAATTCCTTCATCTCTTAGAAGAAAAAAATAGGCACATAAACTGACTTTCTGCCATTTTCAGTATAACCTCTTAGTATTCATTTACTTTGCAGCTCTGTCACTTACATAAAAATTATCTTATTTGAATCTCGTCACAACTCAGTGAAGTGGTCTGTTTTCTTACAGATAAAATATGAATTAGAGGACAGACAGAGATTAAATGACTAGTCCAATGTCATGTAGCCGGTCAATAAGCAGTGTTTTAAGATTTTGCTTTTAAAACCTGTGAAACTCTTCCTTCACTAAACTGTCCTGCTATAGTAGTTGTGACATGATATTCAGAGATTAAAAAAAAAAAAAACACCTCAGTAATAGACTAATGTTACCTTGAAAACAGTTCAGGAAATGGAAGCACCCTGGAATTCATCACATTAAATCTTCAGTGATCATAATAGCTTACATCATATGGGATTTTGTATAAGCAGAAAGGAACAGGGGAATAAGACACAGGTCAGTTTTATTGTTGTCTAGATAATTGTTAATGTTGTGAGGTATAATTCAAATTTTCAAAAGGGGTTTTTGAAATAGAAAAGGTATAATGTAAAAAAAATTAGTAGCAGTTTGAATCTCACTAATCTTGTGAGGAAATTTTGTACACCATGGTGAGAAGGGTTCAGGTTATACCTTATATTTAACTTGACATTTATATCTTCAAAAGATTAAATATCTTCAAAAATATTTATTAAAGTTTAATGTCAGTATCTAGTGGAATAGAAGCAGAAAAACAAATTATTAGAGAATAAAAACAATGATATTAGACTGGAAGAAAGAGGAACAGTTTTTAAAACTGCAAAGAAAATGAACATAAAACGTAACAATAGTAGTATTTGGTGTTAAGGGCTTATGTCCAGAAGGTACTGTTTTTTTATGTATTTTGGGCATACTAATACACAGAGAACATAGACATTTTTCTAAAGGTTACACAGCTGTTAAGTGACAGAGCCAGGTTTCCAAAGGTAGGTATTCTTCTTCAAGGATTATACTCTTAACTTCTGTGCAAGTGGTGTTTAGCTCTTGGAAAGTGGCATGAGTTTGCAGTTGAATCTCCTCCTGCTTGCATGTCTGTGGGCTTCTGTGTGTAAGCTGTGGGTCCATGTGGTACGTTTGTAGGGCTGTTCTTCTAGTCAGACTGTTCAGGTTGGTAGATGGGGATGGACGTTCAGCTAAAGAAATAGAATAGATATATCCTTAAGGAAGAATTAGCAGGTGATGTTACAGTTCCTGAAATCCTTCAGTTATTTCATTTAACTAGCTTAACTAATGTCTGTGCATTTGACCACATCCACTTAGTTTTTATGTTTTTCTTATGCCTTTTATAATCTGTAATTATAGTTTGGATAGCTTTTTAAATTCAAGAGTGTTTATAAATTTCCAAGTGATCAGAGAATTTTGCTATTGGGTTTTTTTTTCTTTTTGCGCTAGAGTGACCTTTAAATGAGATTTATTTTTCTTCATGGTCTAATCAATGTTTGTAGTTTTTTCTACCAAAAAAACCCATTTCTCAGTGTTAACATTAGGAAAGTATATTCTATAAGAATTCATCAGTTACATCAGTATTTTTAATATAAAACAGGTTTAATTAAAGCAAGACTATTTAGGACCCCTCATAGCTCAGTCGGTAAGAATCTGCCTGCAATGCAGGAGACCCAGGTTTGATTCCTGGGTGGAGAATATCCCCTGGAGAAGGAAATGGCAGCCACTCCAGTTTTCTTGCCTGGAGAATCCCCATGGACAGAGGAGCCTGTCAGGCTACAGTCCATGGGGTTGCAAGAGTCAGACATGACTTAGCAGCTAAACCACCACCAATCTGCTAATATGTAGTGTGACTGTCTAAGAAGAAGGAGGTAAAATATGCAGCATTTTTCAAACCTCTCTGAAGGAATTATCTCCTGGTCTGGCCTTTGCCCTGCACATTAGATCATTTTAGTGTATTCCTCAGGTGTGTTGTATGCTTACCTTCCTAGTAAGCTGTTCCTTCATATCAGGGGAACTGTGGAGCAGGCAAGCCATTCTTTGAGGCATCTCTCACTTACCATTTAGTGGGTGCTTCTGTTTATATTTTCCCTAGTTTCCAATAACCATATTTATATTATTTTTAGATTGTTATGGCTATTTCCATGAAATCTGGGCTTGTGTACCCTTTACCTTATTATCCAGAAGGGCCTCAAATGTTGTAACTTAACCATCTTGAGGGTAGGGATGGTCTTTAGTCCTCTTTTTTTTATCTTCAACAAGAGTCTTTTCCATCCCTCAGTTTTTTATTTTACTCTCTGAGACTTTTGCCATCTCTTCATTAAATTGTTTGCTTTGAATTTAAGCAGTTTAAATGGGAAAATAAACACTAGTGTTAATGCCATAAAAATAATTATTTTTTGATGCATCACCCAGTATCATATTGTTTAGCACTTTTGGGGGGAATGGCACCACCTAATTGAAGGGCCATCATGCATAGCCCTTCATTCTGTTCTCTGCATAGCTTGGTGTTGTATCATTCTCACAAACTGTGATGTGAATGATGTGTCCTAGAGTGCTGTGGTCTTGTGGCCCTATGCACCATGCACTGTGCAGAGTACTCTACGTGTAATTAAATCCATACAACAACCCTATGAGGCAGGTACTGTTATTATCCGTACCTTCCAAATATGGGAATAATGACCCAGAGAAATAGAAGTTAGTTAACCTTCCTAAAATTACTTTCCTAAATTTACTCTGCGAGTAAATGGCAGAGCTGGAGATAGGAACCCAGGCTGTCTGCCTCCAGGGCTTTTAATCACACAGTTCATTGCTAGCAAGTTTACTTCAGTGTTTGCATTGTTTCAAAAGGTGCTATGGGGTTTTTTTCCCCCACACATTTATGAAAAACATTAAGACACTTTTTGTGTCTGATTCCAGGTTACTAATTCTTATGTAATTTATTCTAGGTTAATGGAAAAGGTTCCTTATGGTGTGTTGATCCAGAATATAAACCCAACCTTATGCAGGCACTGAAGAAGCAACCTTTCTCCTCAAAGTCCACATTTTACAGCCCTCCTGCATCACCACAAAGGTACAAGATTTAAGATGTAAATGTCAGTGGCAATATATAAGATTTCATTATATGAGATGGAATAACTTAAAGTTGTGGGGTTTTTTTTCATCTTTTTTTTTTTTAATTACATAGAGAATTATTTACGGATAAGTCATTAGACTAAGGCATTTTTACTTATAGTCTTAACTTATTAGGAACCGAGATATTGGGTAATTGAGAGCATAAATTCTGGAAAATGTATTAATAATTAATAATATATATATTCTAACTAAACTCTGAAGATAGTGATAATATAAGTTCAGGTATAACCTGAAACCTTTTTGTAAAGATCAGATCATTTACATTGTCTGCAATACTAATACTGACCTAAAGACACAAGAAAGTAGTAGTATGTTTAAAATTTTTAAAATAAGGCAGTTGTTTGTCATTGCAGCATTTTTATATATACACTTACATTCGTTTTTCTATTTTAAGATTTTTTTTCTTTCACAGCATGTCTAATATTTAAGTCTCAAATTTTTAAATGTCAAGTAAAATAATGCTTTGGATTTTTATTTGATTTGTTTCTACTGGCAAATATGCTTTTCCTTGGCTTTTGTTTTCTAACTCAGTAATCATTAAATTAATCTTATAGCTTTCCCATTTTAAGTCAAATCTGAAAATGATGACTTTAAATCTGACTATTGCCTTTGAAAGAAGCCTTCAGAATCTTTATTTTTAAGTTCTATTATATATATTCATTTGAGTTGAAAATGACAGTTTTGTCAAAATACTTTTAAAGAGTAGTCTATAAAAAGTTTTTTAAAGCTTTTTAGTAAAATAATAAATGAAAAATTTGAAACATACACAAAAGTAGAAGCGTGAACTGCCATTTGCAGCAGTTACCAACATTTCATGTAGTGTTTAAGGAATTAAAGTATTTTTATATAACTTTTAGAGGAGTGTTTGTAGCTGATACAGTTTTAAAAATTAGCCTAAAGTTGAAATTTCAGCAATATATATACATACATACTTATTGAGATTTTACGCTTATTTACCATATTAGTAGATTAGAAGGATGATTGTAACAAGAACTAGTTTATCCTTATGAAATGAAACTCCGAAAAGATGTTATCAGAGTTTATATTCTCATGGATTGGGAGTTAATACTTTCCTTAGTGTTGGTGCTTATGAGATGTCCTAGTTTAAAAGAACAATAGTTGGGAAACTAATGGTAAGTTCTGCTGATACTGCTTTTATGTTTTATTTAGCAGTGCTTTTTTTTATTAAAAATTAAATGGGAGAATTAGCACACTTTTTTTGTATACCATCAGAAATACACTCTCCTATGCCTTTGATATGATACATTTTCATGTTTTCATTTTTTATATGTTTAAATGTTAAATAAAGATGATTTTGTGGTTTAAAAACAGGTAGATAAACAGCAGCATAGAGGTTGTAATCTTTGACTTTAAAATATTTTTAGAAACATTTTCTCTTTATTATTGTTTGACAAAATGACAGTTCCATCTGACATGCCTTTGTGTAGCCCTTTCATGCCATAATTGGTTAAGTCTGAGGAAGAGAATGAACTATAGTGTATATGAAACTGTGACTAAGAAATAGACTTTTAATTTAGTTAGCCAAACAGATTATAGAATCAAACAGTAACTATTATGTATTGTCTGTTGTTCTGGGCATTTTAAATTTAATGTTCTTATTTAATTATCACAACAACCCTATGTGGGAGTTTTAATTATTCCTGTTTTACAGATGAAGAAACTAAGGGGTTAATTATTTTGCCTAAGAACGCCCAAATAGTTGTGATTTAAACTTGGATCTTATGCTCTTTCTGCTTTGGCAGACTCTTGCTAAACTGAATAGTATTAGCAAAGAAAACAAGGTAAAAATCTGTTTTTTATTGTACAAACTAGTTGTATTTGTAACTAAGTTTTATAAAATGTGAAATAAAGTTTTTTTTTGAATAAGTGTGCTTGTCTTATCTCTTTTTAGTGGTTCTTTATCACCTCACTACTTAAGCTCTGTACTCAAGCAGAACCAGGTGCGAACTCTCAAAGGTATGTGACAGATCAGCATTTTAAATCATAAGAACTCAGGTTAAAATCAGAATTTTTATTTAATTGTTTTTTAATTGTAAAAGTATTGCATGTTCATTATAGAAGGTTTAGAAAATAAAAAAACATTTATAAAAAGAAACTAAAACTTACCCTTTATTTGCTGTTAACTTTTTAATTGGGCTATACTGGATGTACAATATTGTATGTTTCAGGTATACAACATAGTTATTCACAGTTTTTAAGGTTATACCCCATTTATAATTATAAAATATCGACTGTATTCCGTGTGTTGTACAGTGTATTCTTGAAGCTTAGTTATTTTTTACATAGTAGTTTATACCTCTTAATCCCCTACCCTATCTATCTTGCCCCTCTGTTGTTAACATTTTTAATATAATTGCTTTGGTCCTTTTTATGCCTTACACAAGAGTAGATATGTTTGCATGCATGCCCATACATGCACATACCACCACCCCCCCACCTCCCAAACACACTTTTTCTCCAAGTACTTGGATTATACTGTGTATACTGTTTTATATCCCTGTTTTTACTTCCTTTTATTGTATACTTTTCCTTGAAAATAGGGAAATATTTCTTAGTAATGTGATAAGTACTGAATTATCTTTTCAAGTCTGTCAGACTAGAATAGTTGACAAACTATGGCCTATGGGTGAAATCTGGCCTGCCACTCATTTTGTTATGGCCTTTGAGTTAGGGATGGTTTTACATAATTCTTTTATAGATAAGTGTAAAGAACTATAATTTAAAAGCAATAAGCTTTCAAAAGCTAACTTTTGAACTTGGTTGACTTTTAAAAAGTAGATCAAAATTTTAAATTAGTTGTTTTTTCCTCTACTCATAGTTAATATTATAGGTTAGTGATATACTAACATAAGTTTTCCTCACATTGTTGCTTTGGAGCTTGCAGATGTTAACTCTGACCTATAAAAATAAAAATTATCAGATGAAAAGCTTTTCTGTGTATCAGAGACATTTTGACTCTTAAGCCAAACCTAGGAAACATATGATGGTCTGTAAAATAAGGGAGCAAAGAGTGTGAAAAGCTTAAGAGAACTCTGCAAAGAAGTTAATGGAATTAGGAGTCTGCCTCAGATAATGTTGTGACTGAACATATATCAAGTACCCATTTTCCTGTTACCTACATGAGTAAATGTGCTCTCTTTATGTTTAGGTATTGCTGAAACTTCCTTTTTATTACTTCAGTAAATTCTGACCCTTAGTCCTTTAAACTTTAGCTCATATGCTTTGAGAACATGTTCTCTTGTGAATTCTGGGGTTTATTTAGAATTTCTTCTTGTTCTTGTTCTATTCCATCTGAATTCTCCTTCTTCCTTTGGGGATCAGCTTCCACAAGGAGAGCATAGGTACTTCTTCATCTAATGAGTTATATGTATTATCCATCATCTCTCATAAGTTTTAGGAGAAAAATGAAATACTGTACCACAGAAAAACTTGAAGAAATTTTATATTTAAATCAGGTTGATTTACCACATATGCATAGATTCTGGCAAAATTTGCTTTTTCTTAACTCTTGATATTATTTCTAGGGAAGAGTTTGAAAAATACAGCAGTAAATTGATTAAACATTCAAGTACTTGTTGAATTCATCCATTGTGCTAATCACTGAACTCTGGGTGCCTTGGGATATGCAGAAAGAGACCCAGGCCCTAGTCTTAGAAAATATACTGTTTAATTAAAGAATTAATTCTTGTTTAATTGATTCGAATTATACAGAATATACTGGGAGAAAAGGAAGTGGGTGGCAAATTAAGCTTAGAGGTAGGTTGGGAAAGGCCTCTTGGAGAAGAAAGTGTATTGCCTGAGCTCTGGGCCTCAAAAGTTGGAGGGATACTTAACCTTGGTTAGAGATTTGGTCTGGGACAGTTGCTAGGAACTGTGGGTTGGTGAGCATGGCTGAAACCTAAGAGCATAGAAGACTAAGTAGCCTTGGTCCTGTAGCTATAGATGTGATCGTTTAGCATGGGCAAGGCAAATGGAAAAAGTTTAAGCAGGCATTAGCCAAATCAAGGAGAGCTTCTTTAGCATAATGAGTTGGAACTTCTTCCTGTAACTGTAACATTAGTTTACATTGAGTTTCTGACTGTGGTGTTTTGCTTGCATTATTTCTTTTAATCCTTACAACAACTCTTTGAGGTTTTGTTACACCCTTTTACAAATAAGGAAATTGAACTTTGGAGAGATTAAGTAATTTTCTTAAGGTTACACAACTAGTAAATGTTATAGAAGGAACTCTGATTTCAGAGCCTGCACTTCTACCGAATATGAGGAGTTAGGGGAACTACTGAAGGTCTTTAAGGATAAGGTGACATTGTCAATTTTGTGTTTTGTAAATATCACTGAAATTTCAATGTTGGCTCCAACTTTGTTATTGTTATTCAGTGGCTCAGTCATATCCGACTCTTTGCGACCCCATGGACTGCTACATGCCAGGCTTCCCTGTCCTTCACCATCTCTCAGAGTTTGCCCAAATTCTTGTTCATTGAGTCAGTGATGCTATCCAACCATCTCATCCTCTGGCATCCCTTTCTCTTCCTGCCTTCAGTATTTCCAAGCATCAGAGTCTTTTCCAATGAGTTAGTTCAGGTGGCCAAAGTACTGGAGCTTCAGCTTCAGCATCAGTCCTTCCAATGAAAATTCGGGACTGATTTCCTTTAGGATTGACTGGTTTTTCTCCTTGCTGTCCAAGGGATTCTCATGAGTCTTCTCCAACATCACAGTTTGAAAGCAGCAGTTCTTCAGCACTCAGCCTTCTTTATGGTCCTACTCTCACATCGGTACATGACTGCTGGAAAAACCATAGCTTTGACTATATGAACCTTTGTCGACAAAGTAATGTCTCTGCTTTTTAATACACTGTCTAGATTTGTCATAGCTTAAGTCTCCTCTGTTTTGCTCATCTGGCCAATAGCAATGTTACAGTATTGTATAACAGGCAGCAGGAGGCAGAGAAATCTCATACTGAGATAGCAGAACAAAACCTTCTTTGGTCAATATTTTGATTTGGTGTGGGTTCGTAGTAAATTCATGTGTTGAAAAATATTTATTGAGTGCACTAGTGTGCTAGTCACTCTTCTAGGCACTAAGGATGCATCAGTGAACAAAGAAGACAAAAATGGAACCATATTCTAACTAGTAAATTTTAGTATTTATACTTAAGCACCAAAGTATATGTAGCATATTACAAGCAAATATAAAATTCAGATAGTTAATGATGAAGGTAGGAACTAAATGCAAATCTAACTTCAAATTTAAGTTTACAAATTATCATAATTTTTATCTTAACTAAAATGAAAGTAAACTGGTAGTCCAAACAGCTTTACGTACTAGTAAGTTATTGAAATCGCTCTCCTACTTTTAAGAATCATGAAAAACAGCTTCCTTGTTTGGATGCTCTGTTAATGTATATACTGGTTTTGATAAAGGCAGTAAATCCTGCTATAGTTAATACTTGGCTTATAATCATTTAAATTCTGCCTTTGTGGTTCTCATATCATTCCTTAAGCAAATGGACTGAGAATCAGGTAATAGAAACTTGTTTGTCTTATTATAACTCTTACTTCCACATAGTTAAAACTGATGTCTTTAGTTCTCTCTCAACTATTGTTAATAATTTCTTAGCGTCAAGGCTAAGAAAGTATAAACTAAGAAGCCTAAGTTAACAGTTTTGACAGAGATTTACTGAACCAGTTATTAAATCAGTAGCATATTTTGAACTCTAGCCAGATCTATGAAGGATAAAAAGGAAACTATATAATACTGCTTAATATGACTTTTCACAGGTCGTTGTTGTTGTTAACTCACTGTTTGGGTGGCTCTCGTGGCTCTGACCTATGACTTTAAGCTGGAAGTGAATGATTGGATTAACCGAAATAGTGTCAGAGAAAATATATACAAAAGGCTTTATAAAAAAATGAAATTTTCATTCTTCATAAACTGAATATGTTAGATAATATAGCTAGTAGTATACTTATTAAGAACACAGAGCCATCTTTAAAATTGCAAAAAGTATTGAGTTGACCAAAAAGTTTTCTCAGATTTTTCAGTAAGATAGTATGGAAAAACCTGAACAAACCAACCCTATACTTATTAATGAAAAAAACATTATAAAGTGTTTTCAGCCGTGACAATAAGTAAGTCTTAAGTTTAATTTTAATACCAAAACTGATTTGGTACTATAAATAAGAATTGTAAAATCTACACAGTTTTGTTGCTTTTGTTCCAAGAAGTTCAAGAATGTACTTTGGACAAATCATTGATAATTAGGTGGTGGTGGTATTGAAGTATGGTTGATTTACAGTGTTGGATAGGAGACTTCTCTGGTGGTTCAGTGGTTTGGACTCCGCACTTCCAATACCATATTGGATAATCAGGTGTTCTTGATTACCAGATGGGATTATTTCTCTGGTGCTTATTTTAACAGTGAATTTTAACTTTTTTTGAGTTAATTGACAAGATGCTGTGGGAAGCATATTTAGCAAATGTTCTGAATCAAACAAAGTCAGATGTAGATAAAATCCATTTGCAAAGAAGTAATTTCATGTTGGACTATTCAAATTAATTTGGATGTAACACATTCCTACAAGAATTTGTATTTAAAGAACAGTTTTCCTGTCATTTCTACTGTTACAGAAAGTGAAAGTGTTAGTTGCTTAATCGTATCTGACACTTTGAGACCCCATGGACTGTCACCCTCCAGGCTCCTCTGTCTGTGGAATTCTCCAGGCAGGAATATGGAGTGGGTTGCCTTTCCCTTCTCCAAGGGATCTTTCCAACCTAGGGATCGAAACCCGATCTCCCGCATTGTGGGCAAGATTCTTAAGCTTCTGAGCCACCAGAGAAGCCCCTACACTAACTATAAAGATATACTAATTTTTAAAGTTAAGAATCTTTTATAGGTGCTTCATTTACAAGATTAATAAATTTCCTGATATTGTTTACTTGTTATAACGCATTTCAGTATTAGATTCTTTCCCTCACCACTATTCCCCCTTTTTTTTTAAAAGAAACAAAGTAGATTTTTTTTTTTCTTAAAAGAAAATAAAATTATTTCATGGAACGGAAGTCTCTCTGTTAGTATAATGCCACCCAGGTTGCACCCTGCACGAAGGACACCTGGCTGAGACAGTGAGTGGGCTGACTTCAGAAGGACTGGACCACACCCAGTCCTCAAGCTGTGTGCCCTGGTTTAGAGAGGCATTCACCTGGAGGCCAGTTGCTTTTTTTCCAATTCACACAGAGATACAATATGGGCTAGAGCTGTACTAGCTTTTTTTCCTTTAAAGGAAAAAAACATGTCCTTTTTAAAGACATGTTAGAATACTGAACTCTATTATAGTCAAGTCTTGTTCTAAAAGATGGGAATTGGAGAGGTCTTCGTTTTACTAGAGTCTATGGCTGTGGCATGTGGGAATCATTGATTGTTCTTTTTAACTTGATTTTTTTTTTTTCCCTGCCTGAAATGCTTTTCCTTTGAATATCTTCATGGTTTCCTTTCTTTCACCTTCCTGAGGTTTTTGCTCAAATATTATCTTTCCTTGAGGCCTTCCCTAACCTCTGTATTTAAAGTTGCAACTACCTTTCCCCACATTCTCTGTCTTCCTTCCCTCCAGTTTTCTTTTCCCTAGTGTTTATCTCTCAGAAGTTGTGTTTCTTTGTGTTCTGAGAGTCAGGGATTTTCCTGTTTTGTTTTCAGCCTGGAATGTGAGATAGGACACTCAATTTATCGAATGAGTACAGAATAGAGAATTTCCATTATACTCTATAATTTCCTGCAAAATTTCCTACTCTAATTATAGATACTTGGTAAATGTTGAGGAATGATGAGATTACAAATTGAAGGCCTGGATTCTGGAGGTAGACTGCACGGGTTAAATCCCATCTCTATCATTCCTAGAGATCCCTCTTTGTCCATTTTCTCATCTTTAAGATGAAAATAGTGATAGTACCACCTCATAAACTTATGAGAGTGAGATGACTTAATAATACTTAGAACATGCCAAGGGCTTAGTAATTTGGTGATAATCAGCTTAATCTAAAGAAAGGAGATGTGGCAGAGATACAATATATTCTTCACTCATTTATCAGGGAACTACTGTTTTTTTCAGGTATTATGGAATATAGAGAATAAGACATGATTCTTACCTTAAGGGAGCTGACAGTCTAATTGGAAAGACATTCATATAGAAACTCTGATTAATGAGATCATACTTTATTCAAGGGAGAAGAATATGTGCTCTCTCATAGCAACAATCTTCTGATTTACTTAAACCTATTTTTTAAGGTCATAACATTTCCTGCCTTTACAGAGTTTGTGGTCAAGATGAGGAGGAAACAAGTCACTATCCACATGGCTTTATTATCTAAGATAATTTTATAATTAGATATTATAAATAAAATGTAAGATTTGGGGATAATAAAAATTTTCCAACTTTGAGGCAGAAATGGAATGTTTTTGAGTCTTGTTTTAAGCCTATCCTTTATAATCTAAAATTTGTAAACATTTTCTAACTTTTCCTTCACATTTTAGATTATACCATTTTACTTTTATTTGATTACGATTATAAAGGCTCACAGATTGCCAAGATGTAGAGGAACTTCTAGTGCAAAAGTAGATATGAGAGCATAATGACCTCTGGAATAAAACCTGCTGATTTTACCAGCCTATTAAAATGCATTTTTCTTATGGAATATCCATAATTGTAGTATTTATAGGCTTGCATGTAATTATGACTGAAGACAGTGCTAATATTTATGTGTGTTCTTAGCTAATTTAATCTGTTTAAGGGCAAGCCTTATTGACATTCAGGTCAGGTTCTTATTTTCATTGTGAGTAATGAAAGAAGAAAACTTTCATTATCTCTAGTGCCTCTCCAATTCTCCTTTATACTGTATTGTTCATAATTTTAAGTGAACAAAAGTAGATTACAAAATAATAAGTCTCATTTTATACATTTATTTGTGTTGTGTCTATGTATATATATAATATCTATATATATATGTGCATGTATAAATTACATATATACCAAAACCTTAATGTTGGTTACCTTTGGATACACGCATATACTATAATAGCCTCTTTTTTATAAAGAAGATTAATATTATCACTTTTTCCTTTTTTAGAATCTGATATTGATGCTGCCACTGCAATGATGCTTTTAAATACTTCTATAGAACAAGGAATTTTGGAATGTAAGCAATCATACTTTTCTTTTTTGTGAGCACCTTTCAAATGTCATTTAGGATGCAAAATATTTCAGTGTTACAGGCAAAATTACTTCTTTCTAGGTAGGTTGTGTTTTCATCTAAATAGCTTAGTTTCTGTTTTATTTTATTTTAATTTATGTGAGCGGTCGTGAAACTGAGGTTAATGCTATGATAATTCTTGTTACATTGGCCAAGAAATGGAGAAATAAATAGCATGTTTAGAAATTAAACTTAAAGATTTAAAAGTGAAAATGGAGATGTCCCTGGTGGTCCAGTAGGCAAGACTCCATGCTCCCAATGCAGGGGACCCAGGGTCAGTTGCTGGTTAGGGAACTAGATCCCATATGCTGCAACAAAAGATTTCATGTGCCACAATGAAAGGTTGAAGATCCCATGTTCTGCAACTAAGACCTGGTTCAGCCAAATAAATAAATAAAAATAAATATTTTTAAGAAATGAATAAAAGTAAAAATGAAAGCTATGAGAAAACATGGAAAGTATGCTTATAACCTTGAAATGAGAAAAGCTATCTTTGACATACAAAGTGCAAAATCCATAAAAGCTGTGTAAATTTAATTAAGCATCAAACTCTTATTTAGAGTTCTGACGACAGCAGATACCTGTAAGAAAAGTAACACAAGCATAATACTGGGATGACGTATTTCTTCACTGTATGTAGCAGACAAAGGAATCATGTTGAGTATACATATGTGCACAACATAAAAAGATTCTGTAAGTAAGAAATAAGAAAACAGTTCAACAAAATATATGAATAGCTAGGCCTCGGAGGAGGAAATATACAGATGGACAGCGCACATTTGAAGGAGATGCAAATTGAAACAATATTGAGATAGTATCTTTTTGTCCTGAGATTATGAAAAATTAAAAGGATTGATAATATTAGGGGTTAAGTATAGGAACTGGGTGTTGTCATGTAATGTAGGATATAAATTGATACAACTATTTTGGAAGGCAGTTTGGAAATACCAACTAAAATTTAAAATGTATATATTTTTTACTTAGTAATTCTGTTTCTTTTCATCTCTCCTAGAAAAATTCCATATGTGTAAGAAAAGGCATGTAGAGGATTTTCATTGCAGTATTACTTGTGATAGTGGAAAACTGGCAACAACCTAAATATCAACAAGTAAATTGTTAGCTAACCAGTGACACATTAATATTGAGGCATTTTCTGCAAGCAGCTCAAAATAATTGTATTTTCCATGGGAAGGTCAAGACATACCATTAAGTGGTTTAAAAATATTTTCGATTGATTCCTACAGGATGATGCTCTGCATAAAATTTAAAGACCCACGAAACATCACCAGTCTGAAGCACTTATTCAGGAGTGATATAATAGTTTTAAATGGCCTGTTTCTGCAGTCAGATGCATTTGATTTACTGATGGAAGCTTTGTTTTCCACAGGTGAGAAGCCTCTGCCTCTTAAAACAACAATGCAAAAAAAGAGGAGTTATAGCAATGCATTTAATCATTCCAGTACTATGCGATTACATGAGAGTGATTCTTTAGCCACCAGCACTGATCCAAAAGAAGACCACAATTACAGTGCAAGTAGCATGGCAGCACAGCGCTGTGCGTCCAGGTCTAGTGTGTCTTCTCTGTCTTCTGTGGATGAGGTGTATGAATTTATCCCAAAGAGTAGCCACGTAGGAAGTGATGGCAGTGAAGGATTTCGCAGTGAAGAAGACACAGACGTTGATTATGAAGATGATCCACTTGGAGACAGTGGCTATGCATCGCAGGCTTGTGCAGATACCACTGAAAAGGGGCAGCCAGACAAAAAGATGCGAAAACAGGCATGTCAAGAAATTGATGAGGAGCTCAAAGAGGCAGCTGGATCTCTGCTCCACCTTGCTGGTATTCGTACATGTCTAGGTTCCCTAATAAGTACTGCAAAGACACAGAATCAAAAGCAGCGGAAAAAATAGAAATACTTACTAGTGTGAAATTATTTTTAAATGTGGCAATACTCTTCTACTTAATTCTTTACAAGGGATATCAAAGCCATAATGGACTACTTTTGTTTTAGGGTGGGGGAGGGGTGCTAATTACTTGTTTATTTCAAAATATTTTTGTTTTTTGAATTTTTATTAAATAATTGCTGTTAGGATCATGCCCAATCATCAATATGATGTGAAATCCTAAAAGCATAATTTTTGTGATAAGTGTCTCCAAGATTGGAAATTTTATGTTAAAAAGTCTCAAGCCTGTCTTAAATTTGTAGGGAAGTCTTTTGTTCTGTTAATATGTCCAAGTGTAAGAACTGGCAACTCTTAACTTTTTTTTCATTTTATTTTCCTATCTGTAATTAACTGTAGTTGCTGATCCAGCTAGAAATTTTGCTGCTTTCTTTCTCCCATACTCTGCTCTTGACACATATAATCCACTAGGATGAGATTTGAATATTTTAGTTTGTCTTAATTTTTGTTTTTAATTATTTTTTGTTGACACATGAACAGAGTTGAATGTAAGTTGGAAAAGATGCTAAATGTCCAGAAAGTTCCTTTTGCATACATCAGCAAAGAAATAGCAAAAAGTTCTAAGATTTAGAAAAGGCAATTTTGTGATGTAATTTCATCTAAGAACTTCAATTCCTGTTAGAATATTATTTTTTCAAATTTTTTAACTTTCCAGATATTCCATAGTGTTTGATTGGAGCCATTTATTCTTTCCCAAAGTGCTTTGCAACTGTTATTTTGATTTTGCCACTAGCTGTCTTTGTTGAGGAGAAAGTATCCAATGAAAGGATATAGCCATGGAGTCCCATTTAGGCACTTTTGCAAAAAGAGGATCTTTCATTGGCTTGTTAGATATACTGCATTCTGAAAATTACACAAATGGAGTGTAGTCTAATATAAACATTTGAATATGTGCTATTTATGTCATCATAAATAAAGGTAGATCATTTAGGAAAAGAATTCTATTCAAGCTTTGTATGAATTAAAGTTGTATTTGCACCCAATTAAGTTAAAGGATTTAGCAAAACTGTAGAGATAAAATGCCTTACATCCTTTTAAGGAGGCAGTATAATTACGTGCCATTAAACCCATCCTAAAAGATTTTGTTACTCTTCCAAATGTGTATTGACCAAGGCCTTTTTCAGTATTTGAACAAATCTTATATGATACACAGTGTTTCATATCATTTGTATAGCTTGACTGTATCATTCAAAATGGACAAAGGATACTAATAAAACTAAACTTATTCATAATGTATTTTTTTACAATGGCAAAAGCAGCTTGCTAAAAGTTCAGTCTTATGCTACATCCTGTTTCATAGACAATGACTTTGTTTTTATTTTCTGATAATTTCATATATACATACACATACATACACACATAAGCTTGTGATTTTGGTTTGTTACTTTCGGCTGTCTCTATGACGATAAAGCATTTTTTTTTAAAGACATATTTTTCTTTTAACTTGTAGTTTGAGCAAAACTGTCAAATGAGAAGCATAATGAAAATGTCTTTTTCAGTTGGCAAGACGTTAAGCCAGGGATAACAACTTTTTCTGTCCTGTTTCCGTGTTAACTGTGGTTGAACCTGGATAGTCACATTAATAGAATTGCTGCTGTTGAAAATAATGATCTTTCAATTTATTGGTAATAAGTGTGCAGGATGAGGTATTGAATTTTTTGTTCTTCATATATATCACATCTGCTGCAGAAAATTGCTAACCGAAGTTAACATCTTTTACTCTGCACAGTGACTATAACACCAACAGTTGTTAAATTGTTTTTACCACAGTGTAAATAGTACATGGGGCTTCCCTGGTGGCTCAGTGGTAAAGAATCTGCCTTCAATGCAGGAGGCCCAGGTTCACTCCTGGGGAAGATCCTCTGGAGAAGGGAATGACTACCCACTCCATTATTTTTGCCTAGATAGTTCTATGGACAGAAGAGCCTGGTGGGCTACCGCGCATGGGGTTGCAGAGTCAAATACAACTGAGAGACTGGCACACAGACACACACAAACACAAATAGTACACAGATTATAAAAGTCATTTTAATAACAAAATATTTTTAAGCTGTTGACTGTGGTCCTCTGGATAGACCTTATTAACAGTGTTTTAATGATCTGGTTCCACTTTATTTTGTTAACTGAAATTCTGTACTACAAATGTTTTCTCTCTGGTTCTTGTCCATTAGATCATTAGTCTTTGTAAGTAAAGGAAAATGATCTAAGATATAAGGAAGGGAGAAAGTCATTCCTGGTTCAAATAAAGATCTTTAGTTATTTTTGTCTTAATATAAATAGCAATAACTTTTAAACTTGATTTTCCTTCCCTCTTCATGTGCTCTTAGCACAAATTTAAAAGTTAAAAGTTATGTTCATTACTAGCAAAGTCAATAAACTTTCACACTAAATGCTAACAGGAAGAAGTTACAGGATGCTTTATTGAATTCTTACATAGAATTCATTGTATCACTTTCCATGTTCTGATTTACCAAGGCAGTTATTTTTAAGGGGAAGAACCTTTTTAATTACCATCCCCCTTTATTACTTCCATAGACATAATCCCATTCCTCAGGTGTATTGAGACAAAAACATGCTAATAACCACCCAATTAAGGGAAGTCATTTTTAGTCCTATGGACTGGAAATTAAATTTCTAAGAATATATTACTAGCAAATTTTACTGTAATAAAAAACAACTTGGAAATCCTGAAAAGGTTCAGTCTTTTAAAATTGTGACTTAAGCTAATGTATAATTTGCCTCGCATCAATATAAATTGTTACAGCCAATCTCAGTTTATGATAGATTCCTAGTAGAAGTTTTAACAATTAATCTTCATCTTTCACATCCCAAATAGAATCAGTGTTTCATGAATATATATTTTTGAAATTTATTTGTGCAATATGTAACTCAATTAGTTCATGTTTATTTTACTTTTCAAATTCAGAGAAAGAAAACATTACATGGAAAATGAATTGATGGATCACCTCCTTTTTTCCACCTTTGAGCCTTTCCTATCCTCCTTATAACCAGCATGGCTTCTCTTAACTTTGATTCCTTTGTATATAGTAAAGTTTAGAATATACATATTTTTTTCTTTTCCTACTCTCTGAGGCATTGTGTAAAGGGTCATACTAGGTGGTCAGTTAAATATATGTTAGCATGAATTCAAAGCTAGAGAAAGTGTTGGGGTGTGTGTGTGTGTGTGTGTGTCTGTGTGTGTGTGTGTGTGTGTGTGTNTAGAGAAAGTGTTGGGGTGTGTGTGTGTGTGTGTCTGTGTGTGTGTGTGTGTGTGTGTGTGTGTGTGTGTGTGTGTATCTTGGTAGACCAGGAGGCCTTTCTCAGCAATTTAAGCAATGGTTGTGAATACTTCACAAAGCTGTAAAGACTATCGTCTTAAATACTACAGTAGCTTAACAACCTTTTGTGAAGACCATAGCATTTAATTAAGAAACTTTGAGGCTTTCTGGTTTACATATATATATTTTATAGTTTTTTTTTGTTTGAAATGTTATATAAGCTTTGATTTAAACAAAATTTGCTTCAATACATTAAGATGTAGTCAAAATATTTATTTTCTGAAAAACAAAGTATTTTAATGTTATACCTGCCATTTTTTCTTAAAGCACATTTTTTTTTGCATCTGACTGCCAGTGCCATTGTCAAAATTGTTGTACATTTCTTATTAAGTGCTTAATTTTAAAGTATTATGTTGCCATTAAATAGTGTATAAAAATGTGTAATTGCCAATTCATTGTAACTATTATTTATTTTTAAGTGAAAATTAAGAATGGTTTCTGATTTAAGAAATTTGGGTTATTAAATTGTGTCCTTATCCATTTTTCTAATGTAGCATAAAAATTACCCTGAGTTTGAGTTATAACTGCCAGTAAGTAGATGACCAGTCCAAGTGAACCACTTCTTAGTTGCCAGTCTTTGCTCATATTAAAAACAACTTAACAAATGTTTAGTTTTTGTATCTAATCTCTGATTATTAAATTGTTTATAAAGTTTATTTTTACCAAAGAGATGCAATTCACTATGATAAAGTATTACAGAATAAATGTTGTTTTATAACATTTTTGTGCTTTCTCTGTCTTTTGGGGGTTGGTAATATAGATGTAGGTGGTTTCATACTCCTACACACATACACTTTCCCCTCCAGTGTTACGAAGCTGGAGTCATAGAGATGAAGGATGAAAGTTTTAATTTCAGAATGTTTTGAAAGGCTACTTTTTGAAAGTATTGTTTTTCCAAAGAACCAGATCTTAGTTTTAGATATTTTCTATTGTTTTTAGTCTCTGTTTCATTTAATTGTTATGATCTTTATTTCTTTTTTTCTACTGACTTTCGATTTTGTTTGTTCTTCTCTTTTTCTTTTGTTTACCTGTTCATCTATTGATGCACATTTCAATTGTTTCTACCTTTTGGGTCTTGTGCATATGTTCACGCTGCTGTGAACATTGGTGTACAGGTATCTGTTTAAATCCCTACTTTCAGTGCTTTTGTGTAGACACCTAGAAGTGAAATTACCAGATGATATGATAATTCTGTGTTCAGTTTTGGTTTTTTTGTGTGTGTTTGTGGAACCACGATAAAGTTTTCTAAAGCAGCTGCACCCTTTTACATTCCCACAGCAATGTGCAGATGTTCCAATTTCTCCATATCCTTTCCAACACTTGTTCTTTTCTTCCTTTCTCCCTCTCTCCCTTTATAATAGTCATCCTAAGTCATCCTAATGGGGGTGAAGTAGGGTGTGTCACACTTTTGCATGTCTTGCAAGCAGAGGCATTGCAATATTTTCTTGCAGACTATATTTTCAAAAACATATGTATGGTAAATAACTGTGGAAAATAAAGTCTTCCTTCAGAATGGAGGACAGATTTGTTTGCAGTCCAGTATAATAAAGATAATGGCTCCCTCTGGGGCAAAGGTCAGACACATTTGCTTGCAGCCTTTATAAAATATTAGGGTTTCCTAAGCAGCATTCAGCTGGGCTGCTCTGCACACCCCATGGGAAAACTAAGACCCAAACCCTGAGTGTGAAGCTCATGTTGCTTGCTGTGAGTAATAAATTCCTTTGTCTCTGACCCAGAGACATGTTTTCTGCCAGCATCCATGAAACTGTAGGAAGCAAGCTTGTCAGCATGAAAGTACTGTAAAAGCTCACATCCTTCACAGTTTTTTTTTTAAATAATCCATTGTTCTTCTTTTTTTTTTCCATTTATTTGTTTTTGGTCTTGCTAGGTCATCAGTGCTGTGCGTGGGCTTTTTCTAGTTGCAGCGAGCGGGGTCTACTCTGGTTGCAGTGCACGGACTTCTCATCATGGTGGCTTCTCTTTTTGTGGGAGCACAGGCTATGGATCCTGCAGGCTCAGTAGTTGCAGCTCACGGACTCACTAGCTGTGGCACATGAGCTTAGTTGCCCTGCAGTATTTGGAATCTTCCCAGACCAGGGATGGAACCCATGTATTCTTAACCACTGGATCACCATGGAAGTCCCATCCTTCACAGTTCTTGACATTCTTGTGTTTGATAAAGGCATCTGTGAAAAATCTACTGCTGACATCATATTGAATGGTGAGAGGCTAACCACATCCCCTCTAATTATGCATAAGCCAAGCATGTCCCCTCTCATTACTACTATATTTTACTGGACCTCTTTGCCAATTTGGTAAGGTGAAAAAATAAGGGGGAGGAAGAAGGAGGTGGGATAAAGGGCATAGTGTTTGGAAAGGAAGAAATGATGCCAGCTTTGTACAGACAACATTATTGTATATGTAAAAATTCCTAAGGGATCTGCAAAAGGCTACTAGAACTAATTGAGCAAGCCCTCAGGATTCTAGGTCCGGTGGTAAAAATCAATTGTATTTCAATATAGTAGCAGCAAACTTTTGGAAAATGAAGTTTTAAAAAGTACTGTTTACATTAGTATGCAAGAAATGAAGGAGCAAATGTAATGAAATATGCAAGACCTACAAACAAAGCTAGTGGAGGTGGTGGAATTCCAGTTGAGCTATTTCAAATCCTGAAAGATGATGCTGTGAAAGTGCTGCACTCAATATGCCAGCAAATTTGGAAAACTCAGCAGTGGCCACAGGACTGGAAAAGGTCAGTTTTCATTCCAATCCCTAAGAAAGGCAATCCCAAAGAATGCTCAAACTACCACACAGTTGCACTCATCTCACATGCTAGTAAAGTAATGCTCAAAATTCTCCAAGCCAGGCTTCAGCAATACGTGAACCGTGAACTTCCAGATGTTCAAGCTGGATTTAGAAAAGGCAGAGGAACCAGAGATCAAATTGCCAACATCTGCTGGATNGTCAAGGCTATGGTTTTTCCAGTGGTCATGTATGGATGTGAGAGTTGGACTATAAAGAAAGCTGAGCACTGAAAAATTTATGCTTTTGATCTATGGTATTTGAGAAGACTCTTGAGAGTCCCTTGGACTGCAAGGAGATCAAACCAGTCCATCCTAAAGGAGATCAGTCCTGGATGTTCATTGGAAGGACTGATGCTGAAGCTGAAACTCCAGTACTTTGGCCACCTCATGCAAAGTGTTGACTCATTGTAAAAGGCCCTGATGCTGGGAGGGATTGGGGGCAGGAGGAGAAGGGGAAGACAGAGGACGAGATGGCTGGATGGCATCACTGCCTCGATGGACATGGGTTTGAGTAGGCTCTGGGAGTTGGTGATGGACAGGGAGGCCTGGCGTGCTGCGATTCATGGGTTGCAAAGTCAGACATGACTGAGCGGCTGAGCTGAACTGAACTGGACTGAAAGACTGAACAGACTGTTAACCAAAGATATATATGAACAGCCAGTAAGACCATGGAAACATGCTCAACATCATTAGCTGTAAGAGAAATGCATATTAAAGCCCCAATGAGATACTACTACACATCTAAATGTCTAAAATTAGAAGGATTGACACCACCAAGTGTATTTAAAAATACAGAGCCAGTATAAGCTTCATGGTTGCTGGCAGGAATATAAAACAGCACAAACACTTTGAAAAACAGTTTGGCAGTTTCTTATAAAGTTCAACATATATAGCCCAATGTACTAGTCGGCTAGGGCTGTTTGCTATATAATAAAATGCCACTGACTGGATGGCTTAGAAACAAAATTTTATTTTCTTACAATTCTGAAGGCAGGAAGTCCAAGGGCAAGGTGTGGTTCCTCCTGAGGCCTCTCTCCTTGGCTTGCAAATGGCTGCCTTCTCACTGTACCCCACATGGCCTTCCTTCGTGCTCTTGAATCCCTGGTTCTCCCTTTTTGTCCAAATTTCATCTCACAAGGACACCAGTCAGATTGGGTTAGGACCCATCTTCAATGGTCTTGTTTTAGGTTAATTCCCTTTGTAAAGTCCCTATCTCCAAATACAGTCACATTCTGAGGTACTAGGGGTTAGTGCTTCAAGATAAGAATTTGGGAGGGGAGCACAGTTTAGCCTGTAACACTCAGAAATTTTGTTCTTAGGTGTCCACCCAAGAGAAATAAAAGATTTTTTCCTAAATATTCATGGCAGTAAGCTTTCATAGCAGTCATATTCAAAATAGCTCCAAAAATGGGAAACAACACAAATGTCCATCAATAGGTAAATATTAATACATTATGAGTTCCTGCAATAGACCACTACCCAGAAATAAAAAGAAACAAACTGCTGATATTAGTAACAGTGTAGATGAAAATTATATCAAAAGAATACACACTATGTGATTCCATTTACATGGAACTTTAGATAAAACTAATTGGGCTTCTTTGGTGACTCGGTGGTAAAGAATCCGCCTGCCAATGCAGGAGACATGACTTCAGTCTCTGGTCCAGGAAGATCCCCTGGAGAAAGAAATGGCAACCCTTTCCAGTATTCTTTCCTACAGAACTCCATAGACAGAGAAGCCTGGCAGGTTACAGTCCATGGAGTGGCAAAGAGTCAGACACAACTTTGCGACTGAACAACAGCAATGGAATCTATAATGACAGAAAGTACATCCATATACCTCCAGCTGGCAAGCAGGCAGGGTAGGTGGGGTGAGAGCTAAGCAACAAACAGTGTCAAGAGAAGAGCTCCTTGACATTCTAATTTCTTATTTGCAAACCAAAATTAAGTTGTCCTATTTGAACTGCAGAGTAAGGGAGTTAATAAAAATTTGTTAGTAAGGAGCAAATGAGTAGTTAAAATGAATTCAACAGCTTCAGAGCTGAGAGTTGAATAAAAACTCTTCAGTTTTTATTCAGACAGGTGGTTCCCCTACAGAATATGAGATAGATTGAAAAGAAAGGAATACTCTCTGGGGAGGATTGGGTGGGTATGGAAAATCACTTGCTGGGAGTTGAATGGCTTTTTAATTAAGAGCTACCTGAATCTGACTTAGTAATCTATGAAGGGTATTACCTGAAATGTTATAACTACTTATTGAGTATTTTCTACTTGACAGACTTGGCGAGTACTAAATCAAACATTTAGATAGCTTATTTTATTTAATTCTTACATCACGTCTTTGAGGTTAATGTTGTTGCTGTGTTTAGTCGCTAAGTCGTGTCCAGCTCTTCTGTGACCCAATAAACTATAGCCCACCAGGCTCTGTCCAGTGGGATTCTCCAGGCAAGAATACTGGAGTGGGTTTCCATTTCCTCCTCCAGGGGATCTTCCCGACCCAGGGATCGAACCTGTATTTCCTGCATCTTCTGCATTGGCAGGCAGATTCTTTACAACAGAGACACGTGGGAAGCCTAAAAAAAGCAAGTCTAGTTCCTAAACTTGTGCTTTAACTACCAGGTTTTACTGCCTCTGGTTTAAAGAGCTAATCATGCACAAGAAGAATGCTTGGCTTTTTTTTCATTTATTCAACAAATCTTTGCCTAGGCCCTCATAGTTTGGCAGTGAGCAAAACATGAAAATCTCTCTGCCCTCATGGAGCTTACATTCTAGTGCGGGGAGACTAGCAAAATAAAAACTTGAAATAAAATACTGAAAGTGATAAGTGCTATGAAGAAAAACAGGTAAGGAAGGGGCAAGGTGACAGTTGCTATATGATCAGGCCCCTCAAGATGGCTATTCTCTCTTGTACATCCCGCTGCTTGACTAGTGCCTGCTTCACCTGCACCAGGCACATGACTGGCCTTCCTACATACTTGCCTCTGGCCCGCTAGTGATTGTTCTAACTATCAGATCAGATTATCTCCACTAGGATAGCTTATCAAAGGGGCAAGAGGGGCATGCCCCTTGGCTAATTGCCCTGGTAACCAATGCGTCAACATGATGTCAGTTCCCCTGTAACTGGTTAACCTCACCCTTCCACCGGGAGCGAAGAATGCTGCCATGTCCAGCTAGTCACCTACCGCACACAGTGGGAAGTCGCTCCAGGACCTTGTCTCAGACAGGTAACCTCCCCATCTATGAAAACAGTGGTATCTGTTGCTGACTCAGAGCTCTTCAGTCTTGAAGCTAGGCCAGTCCAGGACTTGCAGGCCTGCAGGATGCAGCCCAACAGTTGGCCTTTTAGATGGGGAGGACCTCTCCCCTAGGTGGCTCTAAGCAGAGATTAGAGTGATGTGCAGGAGTGCACACGTCTCCAGAGGGAAGGAGCGGTGAAGGCTAAGCCAGAGGCTGCAGCTCTTTGATGTTTTTACAGCATTAGCAAGAAGAAGAGCTATTTGCCTGGAGCATCCCTTACAAAGGAAAGACTCGTAGAAGGTGAGGCCTGCAAAGTAGTTCGGTCCCAGGGGCCAGGTCTTAACAGAGTTCTGTGGCTACCATGGTATAAGAACTTAGAATCCAAGATCTAGAAGCAATGGAATCCAATTGCATTTTCTAAGGATGGCTACCACACCTTGAAATTTGGAGAGTGTCCATAACAAATTTTTAATACAGTACAAATTAACAAATTATTAATCAAATACCTCTGACAAACAGGACATCTCTACACTATCACCTGTTACAGTTACACTTTCAACTAAAATAACTCCAAAACCAAGAAATGTATGTATATAACCTTATTGTTCAGTTGTTCCCAACTCTTTGTGACCCCATGGGCTGCAGCACTCCAGTTTTCCCTATCTGCCACCATCTCCCGGAGTTTGCTCAAATTCATGTCCATTGAGTCAGTGATGCCATCCAACCATCTCATTCTCTGTCATCCCCTTCTCTTCCTGCCTTCAATTTTGCCCAGCATCAGGGTCTTTTCCAGTGAGTTGGCTCTTTGTATCAGGTGGCCAAAGTATAGGAGCTTCAGCTTCAGCATCAGTCCTTCCAATGAATATTCAGGGAGTATAAAATCTATGCAGTTAAGAAGAAGTGGTATTACTCTAAACTGCTACATATATTACAGTATCTTATTAATAAGTTTCATGGATAAAAATCTTACTTCCTCTCATTCGTATAACGGTCAGGCTACATTACTGCAAAGTCTATTAAAATATCTATTTACTAGTTTTAAGTGTAATTGGTTCTAAACCATCCACATTTTTTATGGCATTAAGGGAATAGAGAAGAATAATCTTACAATCAGCCTGTCTGAGGGGTTTCATTAAGTAATGCAAGTATTTCCATAAGATGTGGCTTACAGTATTAAATCTCTTAATAGAGTAAAAATAAATATAAAACTGAATCTTGATCAAATTATAGCACTATCAGTTCTGCAACACCTAACTCACTGTTGTTTCCAGGCAAAGAACTAAGACATTAACTAACAGTTTAAGAACCCAGACATTTGGTATCTTTCTGGTCAAGTGAGCAAGAAGCGTGTTGCAGCAGACTCTGCTCCTCAGGTCTATTAAGATTTCACTTAAAAGAACTCCCACCCACTTTCTACTTGCACTTACACACCAGTCTGAATTCTTAAAGAAAATTATATTACAAATGTAATTGGTTTTTCCTGAATTTATATTGTTTGATGATAATTCTGAGATGCAGTGTTTCCTTGTAACTTGATTCTGTGTAAATACTCTCTCTCCCTTCTTTTAAATAAATTCTCCCCAGGAATGTATGGTCAGCTTTAATTCACTCTAAGAAAACATGTTGATTATTCAAATAAGAAATTGCAATCTTCAAATACTTGCAGACAGCTCTTGGGAGAGGCAGTGGTGTATTTACACATTTTAGCTGACACACTACAGATTCTTTATCAGCGCAGGTAAAAGCAGGACCATATATAATTTATTAGTACTCTCTCTCTAATTGCTTTCTAGGAGAATTACAGAAAGGAATTCTCACTCTCTGTTTCCCCAGGAGGGGGTTGCCTTTGTTACAGCTTAACTCTAAGCTTTATATGGAATTGCAGCTTTTGAAATAGAGCATTAATTGGAAGTAATTATCCAATTATAACAGCTGTGACTATGCTATATACCAAATATTTACCAAGAAAAGAACACATTTAACAGATGATTTAATATAGCAGCCTGGCATAATGAATCTGCAACTGACACTCCAGTCATACAGCTAATGTCTTCAATGGCTGAAATATTCAAGAGTACACATGTAGCTCAAGTCGGTGCAAAAAACAAAGACTTATCAAGCTTGATTTTCAAAGCAGTGCAAGTGTGTGATGTAAATTCTAAAAAGTGATCAAGAATTTATTATCAAAAATGCGTGAGAGTTTTCCAACTGCTTGATTTTAAAAGTAGGTGTGCTTTCAAGTTTAATCGACTTTCAAAAAACTTTTTTGGTGTCTGGTGTATGTGTGCTGAAGGAGTATTACAGGGCTGTCCTTGAAACTGATGCTTTGAAACTTCTTCAGGTAGTTTCCAGATAAGCACCCAGAAGAATCTGCCTTGTGTGAAATTTCACACTGCAACCAGTGGTGTGATAATGAGCTCCAGGGCACTCATTTTCTGCCTGTAATCTGTTCAGCTTGACCCAGCATCAGGATCTTTTCCAGTGAGTTGGCTCTTTGTATCAGGTGGCCAAAGTATAGGAGCTTCAGCTTCAGCATCAGTCCTTCCAATGAATATTCAGGGAGTATAAAATCTATGCAGTTAAGAAGAAGTGGTATTACTCTAAACTGCTACATATATTACAGTATCTTATTAATAAGTTTCATGGATAAAAATCTTACTTCCTCTCATTCGTATAACGGTCAGGCTACATTACTGCAAAGTCTATTAAAATATCTATTTACTAGTTTTAAGTGTAATTGGTTCTAAACCATCCACATTTTTTATGGCATTAAGGGAATAGAGAAGAATAATCTTACAATCAGCCTGTCTGAGGGGTTTCATTAAGTAATGCAAGTATTTCCATAAGATGTGGCTTACAGTATTAAATCTCTTAATAGAGTAAAAATAAATATAAAACTGAATCTTGATCAAATTATAGCACTATCAGTTCTGCAACACCTAACTCACTGTTGTTTCCAGGCAAAGAACTAAGACATTAACTAACAGTTTAAGAACCCAGACATTTGGTATCTTTCTGGTCAAGTGAGCAAGAAGCGTGTTGCAGCAGACTCTGCTCCTCAGGTCTATTAAGATTTCACTTAAAAGAACTCCCACCCACTTTCTACTTGCACTTACACACCAGTCTGAATTCTTAAAGAAAATTATATTACAAATGTAATTGGTTTTTCCTGAATTTATATTGTTTGATGATAATTCTGAGATGCAGTGTTTCCTTGTAACTTGATTCTGTGTAAATACTCTCTCTCCCTTCTTTTAAATAAATTCTCCCCAGGAATGTATGGTCAGCTTTAATTCACTCTAAGAAAACATGTTGATTATTCAAATAAGAAATTGCAATCTTCAAATACTTGCAGACAGCTCTTGGGAGAGGCAGTGGTGTATTTACACATTTTAGCTGACACACTACAGATTCTTTATCAGCGCAGGTAAAAGCAGGACCATATATAATTTATTAGTACTCTCTCTCTAATTGCTTTCTAGGAGAATTACAGAAAGGAATTCTCACTCTCTGTTTCCCCAGGAGGGGGTTGCCTTTGTTACAGCTTAACTCTAAGCTTTATATGGAATTGCAGCTTTTGAAATAGAGCATTAATTGGAAGTAATTATCCAATTATAACAGCTGTGACTATGCTATATACCAAATATTTACCAAGAAAAGAACACATTTAACAGATGATTTAATATAGCAGCCTGGCATAATGAATCTGCAACTGACAATCCAGTCATACAGCTAATGTCTTCAATGGCTGAAATATTCAAGAGTACACATGTAGCTCAAGTCGGTGCAAAAAACAAAGACTTATCAAGCTTGATTTTCAAAGCAGTGCAAGTGTGTGATGTAAATTCTAAAAAGTGATCAAGAATTTATTATCAAAAATGCGTGAGAGTTTTCCAACTGCTTGATTTTAAAAGTAGGTGTGCTTTCAAGTTTAATCGACTTTCAAAAAACTTTTTTGGTGTCTGGTGTATGTGTGCTGAAGGAGTATTACAGGGCTGTCCTTGAAACTGATGCTTTGAAACTTCTTCAGGTAGTTTCCAGATAAGCACCCAGAAGAATCTGCCTTGTGTGAAATTTCACACTGCAACCAGTGGTGTGATAATGAGCTCCAGGGCACTCATTTTCTGCCTGTAATCTGTTCAGCTTGACAAGTGCTGACCAAGTGCATGGGGGAGAAAAGACTTCAGGGGGGGACAGTGTTGATTAAATGGATGGGAAGATAATCCCTACACTATCAAGGAATATCTTTATGGGGAAAAATTCACTACTAACACCTGCAAAATTGGCTCAGCAAGAAAAGAGGAAAATGTTTCATCCAATTTGTTGGCTCTATATTAAAGAAACAAAACAAAGGAACCAAAACCCTTGGCCACCAACTCTTGAGTCATCTCACTGGTGCTGTCTTGACAAAGAGATGCCGTTCCTCTCTGGGCTATGATGTCAGCTTTGTCCAATCATAACCTTCCTTATGAGAGTGGGGGATAATTCTCTGGAGACAAGGTGAGTGACAGCAGCAAGCAACGCAGCAGTCACTAGGCAACAAGATCAGCCTTCAGTGGAAGAGAATTTTCAAACACTTAACCCTCACGCTGTCAGGGCTTCTTGTTGCTGATATGGCAATGATCTCTGGACAAAAGGCCTAATAAGACTATGACAGCTTTTTTTTTTAAAGCTGTGTTTCTAAGGGCAATGAGAGGAAACGTCCTATTTAGGCCAAGGACCTTACTTGGTTTAAAAAGACTGGTACATGTTCTTTTTATGACCCTTCAAAAAAAAAATAAACTTTCTATTCTTAAAAATGAAAAAAAAAAAAGACTGGTAAATTTGGAAATTTTTTTCACAGGGGTCATGATTTAACTCCCATGATTATCTCCTTGGTGTCTTCAGACTTTATATTCTCTTGCTCACTGTAAGCCAGGCTGTCACACAGGCGTGTGGTCAGTGCCCAACACAAAATCCAGGGAATGAGTGGAGCTGAGATCAGCCTAGGCTCCTTGTGTCTGCACACACGCTTGTTGAAGTATTCTCAAGAAATGAGTCTTTATCTGATTTGTTGCCCTGGGGGGGGGAGGGGGGTGCCATTTTGTAATCTGTCTGCCTGGAGTGGTGGTTTTTCCTAATTTGCACAGAGTTGCTCTCTGAGCTCTTGGGCGGGGCAATTTGCAAGTCTATCTTATTTCTCCAAACCGAAAATTCTGCAAGGTTGTCCCTCCTCTTTTGCACTTGACTCTGCTAGAGAATTTAGCATAGGGCTTGACAGACCCACGTGTGAACTGGTGGTACTGCCTCCAAACTACATTTCCAGAATCATCTTGTTCAGACTGCTTCCCAGACAAGCAAAT